TTTTTTTTTGAGACGGAGTTTCGCTCTTGTTGCCCAGGCTGGAGTGCAATGGCGCGATCTCGGCTCACCGCAACCTCCGCCTCCCGGGTTCAGGCAATTCTCCTGCCTCAGCCTCCTGAGTAGCTGGGATTACAGGCACGCGCCACCATGCCCAGCTAATTTTTTGTATTTTTAGTAGAGACGGGGTTTCACCATGTTGACCAGGATGGTCTCGATCTCTTGACCTCGTGATCCACCCGCCTCGGCCTCCCAAAGTGCTGGGATTACAGGCGTGAGCCACCGCGCCCGGCCCGACATCTTTTCTTCTTTTTAACAACTGATAATGAAGCATCGAAAAGCATTCAGGTGGGAACAGTTTGTTGGAGAATAAGGGAAAGAACAAGCCATCTGTTCACATGATTCCATGTAGTCCCGATTTGTCTTTTCAGGTATTTGTTAGGTGATGGTAACGAGAATAGCAATTCCATTAGTCTTGATGGTGATTATGTTCTAGCCAAAACACTATTAAGTGTGCATGGTTAGATGTTACATCAACTGGGGAGATACTGGTCAAAGAGTAGAGTTTCAGTTAGGAGGAATAAGTTCTGAAGATTTGTACAGCTTGTGACTACAGTTAATAATAATTTACTATATATTTGACAATTGCCGAGAGAAAGGAAGTAAATAAGATACTGCAACAACTGCTGAATCTTTTCAGTTAGAAAGCAGGTTTTAATGACATCAAACTTAAGTTTGCAAGACGCGGCCGGGCGCGGTGGCTCAAGCCTGTAATCCCAGCACTTTGGGAGGCCGAGGCGGGTGGATCACGAGGTCAAGAGATCGAGACCATCTTGGTCAACATGGTGAAACCCCGTCTCTACTAAAAATACAAAAAATTAGCTGGGCATGGTGGCACGTGCCTGTAGTCCCAACTACTCAGGAGGCTGAGGCAGGAGAATTGCCTGAACCCAGGAGGCGGAGGTTGTGGTGAGCCGAGATCGCGCCATTGCACTCCAGCCTGGGTAACAAGAGCGAAACTCCGTCTCAATAAAAAAAAAAGTTTGCAAGATGCTTCTTTTTTTAAGCTTCCTCAAATCTATTCCTTAAGTGTTGATATTTCAGATTATCAGAAGTTCTTATATTCTAGAAAATAGTCTATAATATAATACATATTTTATTAAAAAAAATAAACTAAGACTATTTTTCCAAGAATAGGGATAGATTTTTGTTTTCTTTCATGATCTCCTGGGTTTTGTAACCTATTTAAATAATGGTATATAAATAGCTGTGGAACAGAACAAAAAGAAATGAAGTAATGTCTGTCATGGAAATTACACCTCGATGACTGATGACTGTAGCCATATGAATGCATGCATTAACCACTGACTTGAGAAGTACTCTTAGATTAATATGTCAAGTCCTTTGAGGGGGAAACTTTTTTTTCCCTCTCTTTCTGACTTCATGGGACGTGGAAAGTGATGAAAGAAAGGAGGACAAGGAGTCTTCCTTGTTGACAATTATAGCAGTAATGGACTATTGAAATTGCTGTTTATTTGCTGGTTCTTTATGAAATAAAGATGGAGGTTCCTTTTATGTCACTAAATTATTAACCATAACTCAGATAACACACCATACATTGTCTTTACACAGTGAGGTCATTGTGTACTTATACCTTTCCGTCAATCGCATGTGCCAAAGACCAAGTTTAGTATCAGTAGGTGTGTTTACAAACCATTCTGGTTTTGTGGTTAATGTTTGTGAAAATAGTCTTAGCACTTTTAACAGCTTCTTTTTTTTTTTTTGAGATGGAGTTTTGCCCTTGTTGCCCAGGCTGGAGTGCAATGGTGCGATCTCAGCTCACCACAACCTCTGCCTCCCAGGTTCAAGTGATTCTCGTGCCTCAGCCTCCCAGGTAGCTGGGATTACAGGCATACATCACCACGCCTGACTAATTTTGTGTTTTTAGTAGAGACGGGGTTTCTCCATGTTGGTCAGGCTGGTCTCCAACTCCCGACCTCAGGTGATCCACCCGCCTCCACCTCCCAAAGTGCTGGGATTACAGACATGAGCCACCGCACCCTGCCTTTAACAGCTTCTCAAGTGAATTCAAGAACTTAGTGCATACTTGCTGTATTTGAAGGGTTATTTGCTAGTTCTTCTGTGTAGTTCCTCACCTCCCTGCCACCAATATCAAGTAATTACTCCATCTAAGATGATAAAATAGGTCCCTTAAAATCAGAACACTTAATTTTGATGCAGAAAGTTTTTTTTGTTTGGTCTGCTTTGATGTGGTTTGCCTTTGCAAAAGTGGAGTTGGAGGAATTGGAAGGAGGTCCTAGGAGGAAGCCATTTTCGTGACTTAGAATATAATGCGTGTATGTTTTAATTTATATAATTTTCTTTTTAATGTTTAAAATGTCCTGTTTCCTAATAAATTAGTTAGTTGGCCAAATAAATGAATCGTTTGTTTTAAACAGGTCAAGGTGAAGATGTTCTTAAAGGGTCCCAGATTACCTATGTTACAGGTGTAGAAGGGGACGACGTTGTTTCTACACAAGTAGCCACAGTAACTCAATCTGGGCTAAGTCAACAAGTTACACTCATATCGCAAGATGGGACTCAGCATGTAAGTATCCACCAAAAGCCAAACAAATGAAATCTTTCCATGAACCTGGGCTTGAAAGGCAGCCTGGGTCCCCATTGAAGAAAGCTTTGAAATACCAAGGTGCAAAGTTTGGAAACCCTGAAGGTTTTTCAGTAGTCTGCTTAAAGAGACTCCATGCAGAGAGATTAGGAGAGAGAGAATGTTTGTGATTGTAGAATCCAAATGGTGTTACTGGTGTAGCTCAAAAGTGAGATGTTTAAAGTCAGCCACAAAGAGGTTGAGTGCTTGAAAGGTACTGGATCCATGTGAAACACAGCTCAGAAAAGGGATAGGATTTGGTGGCTGATTAGATCCAGGAGGTGAGACTGAGAAAACAGAGGTTTGGCTGAGGTGATCAGCATGTTATGGTACCATTAAGAGATGAGGAATCATGAGAGTTCACTCAGCTAGCTTCACAGAGTCCATAGAACAGGTATCTCCCAGGCAAAGCACAGTATAATGGTTGTTCTCTGATAGCCAGACTTTTTAGTACTTTCTAGATGCCATTAGCCTAAAATAATTCCACCTTGATTCCATTTTTAAGCTCTAGCCAAGGCTGTTTTAATACCTGGTAGAAATACGCACAATGTGGTTTTTTACCCTTCTTGTGTCTGCCTCTTTCATGGAGAATGCTCTCCTTACCCATCTCTCTTAGAGCTTAATGATTTATCTGCCCTGTTTTGATACTCAGGATTAGAAAGTACAAAGTTCTTCTGCCATCTCATTTTTCTCCCTCCTTACTTTGATGTTATTAATTTCACACTATACTGTTTGTCCTCTGACTGGCATGCAAGATTATTAACCAAGTTTTAATTCTGCATCACCGTTAATACTTTTTCTTGAATTGGATCGTCATATACAGAGGTCCTCTGGAAGTTTGTTTTACATAACCTCCCGCTTCCCTATACAGGAAAAATTCCCACTACAGTTCAAAAATAGCTACTAATGAGAAACCCCCAGTGATCAGGCAGTTTCTGTCTTAGGCATTTTGGGGCTGGGCGCGGTGTCTCACACCTGTAATCCCAGCACTTTGGGTGGCCGAGGCAGGCAGATGACCTAAGGTCGGGAGTTCTAGACCAGCCTGACCAACATAGAGAAACCCTGTCTCTACTAAAAATATAAAATTACCTGGGCGTGGTAGCACATGCCTGTAATCCCAGCTACTTGGGAGGCTGAGGCAGGAGAATCACTTGAACCCAGGAGGTAGAGGTTGTGGTGAGCCAAGATTGCGCCATTGCATTCCAGCCTGGGCAACAAGAGTGAAACTCTATTTCGAAAAAAAAAAAAGTTGTCTGAACTGTAGGTGACGGGGAGTCACGGGATTTCAGCAGAGAGCATAAGATTTTTTTTGTTTTGTTTTAGAAAGATGTCAGTGTAGAGAATGGTTAGGGAAGGGTTAAACTGGGTACCTGGAGAGAGTTGGATTATTGTAGAAATTCAGATGGGTGAAAAATAAGGATCTAAGTTAGCAATAGGAGTGGAGAGGAGGAACCGCATTTAAGAAATACTGTGTTGCCGGGCACAGTGGCTCACACCTGTAATTCCAGCACTTTGGGAGGCTGAGACGGGAGGATCACTTGAGGCCAGGAGTCTGACACCAGCCTGGGCAACATGGTGAGACCCCATCTCTACAAAAAATAAAATTAAAAAATTAGCCTGGAGCAATGGCTTACGCCTGTAGTCCCAGCTACTCAGGAGGATGAGGCTGGAGGATCACTTGAACCCAGGAGTTTTAGGCTCTGCACTCCAGCCCGGGCAACAGAGCGAGGCCTAATGATATTATTATTTTTATTATTCTTTTTAGAAGAATAACATTATTTGTATATCTAAAAAGAATAATAATAAAATAAGAATTTTTAAAAGAAACATTGTATTGTTTGTTCTGATGACTGAATGTGTTTATTTCATTCCAAAAGGCTTCTTTACATTCACAGGGCAAACTTATACAAAGATTAGTCCCAGTCCTTATGTAAGATTGTCAGCTATAAGAAGAAACATTGACAGCTTTGTAAAATTCACTGTATTGCAGGTCAACATATCTCAAGCAGACATGCAGGCCATTGGCAACACCATCACAATGGTAACGCAGGATGGCACGCCCATCACAGTCCCTGCCCATGATGCAGTCATTTCCTCAGCAGGAACACACTCTGTTGCTATGGTTACTGCTGAGGGTACAGAAGGGCAACAGGTAATTACTTTTTTCTGTTATATCAATCAGTACATATATCAGTACCAAAACTGTCACACAGATATACAGTGTGGTACAACAGTTAAACACAAACTTCAGAGTGAATAATATTTTGCAACTTCTTAGCTACTTAACCCTCAGAGCCTGTTTTTCCTCATTTGTAATATAGAGTGTTAGTTGCATCTACCCCATAAGATTGATATAAGGATTGAATGAGATAATGCATATAAGTTACTCAGCCTACATATATATTAAGTATTCATTAGTGGTAGCTATTCCTGTTACCATCATTATCAGATACTTAGGAAATAATTGCAAAATTTACTATTTAATTTTTTGAATATGTCATATATTCACATGGTTCAGAACTCAAAAAAATATATACAGTTATGTAATGAAACATTCATCCCACCCCTGCCTTCATCAGCTCAGTTCTTGCCTCCACAGATAATCAACCTTTATCAGTTTTTTGTGTATTCTGCCAGTCATTAAGCATATACAAACAAATAAAAATAAATAATCAACTCCCCTTACCTTTTTTTTTAACTAGCACACAGCTAACATAATGGCTCTGTTTTCATTTTTGAGACAGGCGGGAGTGCAGTGGCATGATCACGGCTCACTTCAGCCTCAACCTCCCAGGCTCAAATATCCTCCCACCCCAGCCTCCCAAGTAGCTGGGACTACAGATGTGCACCACCATGCCTGGCTAATTATTTATTTATTTTTTTAGAGATGAGGTCTCACTGTGTTGCCCAGGCCTTGGCCTCCCAAAGTGCTGGGATAACAGGCATGAGCCACCATGCCCAGCCTCCTTTTTTTTTAATGGTAATAAACTAGTCTGTTCTATATATTGTTGTTGTCTTTTAAACTTAACAATACATTTTCAGAATCTTTCTCTGTCATTATATAGAGAGCTTTCTCCTTCCTCTTTTTTTAAGCTGCATTGTACTCCACTGTATGGCTATGCCGTAATTTATTTAAAGTCTTTTGCTATTTCAAACAGCACATTACCTGGTGCACATGTGGTTTTGCGCATGTGTGAGTAGATATGCTAGATAAATTCTTAGAGCAGGATTGCTGGTGCAAAGATACGTGCATTTGTTAATTATTATCAATGTTGCCAAACTTCCCTTCTAGGGTTGTGCCAGTCTCCATTCCCACCTGCAGGGTTTGAGAGTGCCTGTTCTCCTTCAGCATGGTCACCATGGTAGTATCAAACTTTTGGATTTTTTTCCAATCTAATGTATTTTTTGTAGTTTTAATTTTCATTTCCACCAATCTGATTTTTTTTTTGTAGTTTTAATTTTCATTTCAAATAAATAACGTAGTATATTTAAAAACTGTTCTTGGCCGGGCACAGTAGCTCAAGCCTATAATCCCAGCACTTTGGGAGGCTGAGGTGGGTGGATCACCTGAGGTCAGGAGTTTGAGACCAGCCTGATCAACATGGAGAAACCCCATCTCTACTAAAAATACAAAATTAGCTGGGTGTGGTGACGCATGCCTGTAATCCCAGCTAATCGGGAGGATGAGGCAGGAGAATCGCTTGAACCCAGGAGGCGGAGGTTGGGGTGAGCCGAGATTGTGCCACTGCACTCCAGCCTGGGCAACAAGAGCGAATCTCTGTCTCAAAAAAAAAAAAAAAACAAAACTGTTCTTATACTGTGCTAAAGGCAATGTTGAGTCTCACTGTTGAAAAATAAATGAAGTTGGTAGTCTTATACACCCTGAAATGTAAAACTCAGACTCATAAAGCTTCTAGAAGAAAAGAGAGGCAAATAGCTTTGCAGCCTTAGGGTAAAGATTTCTTGGACTGTATTCAAAATGTACTAACAATGAAAGAAAAAAACTGATAAATTGGACTTCATATTAATTCTGCTAACCGAAAGGCACCGTTAAGAAAAACATCAGACAACCCCCAGACTGAGGAAAAGATATTCATACTATATACACACACTATATTTACACAATACAAGTCTAAAAATGGACTTGTATTATGAATATGTAACAGGGTGGGCACGGTAGTTCACGCCTGTAGTCCCAGCACTTTGGGAGACCGAGGTGGGCGGATCACAAGGTCAGGAGTTCAAGACCAGCCTGGCCAAGATGGTGAAACCCCATCTCTACTAAAAATACAAAAACTAGCTGGCATGGTGGTGTATGCCTGTAATCCCAGCTATTCAGGAGGTTGAGGCAAAAGAATCTCTTGAACCTAGGAGGCAGAAGTTGCAGTGAGCTGAGATCTTGCCACCGCACTCCTGCCTGGGTGACAGAGGGAGACTCTGTCTCAAAAAACAGAAAGAAAAGAATATGTAACAAATTTCTACAAATCAACAATAAAAAGATGAACAACTATTAAAAATGAGCCAAAAAAGTGTTTTAAAATGTACAAATTATGTAGTTTCTCATTGAACAGACCTCCTGCAAAAGATACATAACATAAAAAGTGCACATCTTTTATCATCAAAGAAATGCAAATTAATATCACAATGAGAGAGCATTTCAGACCCAAGAAAATGGCTAAAATCAAAGACTAACAAAACCAAATGTTGATTTCTCCTGAGAAACTAGTGAGGAAACAACCACCACCACCTCCAAATGTTGGCAAAGATGTGGAGCAAATGCAACATTCATACACTACTAGTGGGTGTGTAAAATGATGTAAATAGCCAATAGGCACATGAAAAGATGTTCAACATCATTAGTCATTAAGAAAATGCAAACCAAAACTATAATGAGATACCACTTTACACCCACGAGGATGGCTATTATTAAAAATCAAGTGTTGGCAAACGTGGAAAAATTATCTTGAACATTGTAGGTTAGAATGTAAAATGGTACAGCCAGTGTGGAAAGCAGTATGTTCCTTAGAAAATAGAACACAGAATTACATGTGATCCAGCAATTCTACTCCTAGGTATACACCCAAAAGAATTGATAATAGAGACTCAAACAAGTACTTGTACACCAATGTTTGTGACAGCATTACACAAAATAGCTTAAATGTGAAAATAACCCTGGTGTCCATTAAGAGATGAGTGGCTAAACAAAATGTGGTATATCTATACAATGGAATATTGTTCAGCCATAAAAAAGAATAAAGTATTGATAATATGGTACAACATGGATGAACCTTGAAAACATGCTAATTCAAAGCAGCCTGACACAAAAGGACTGTCGTACGTTGTAAAATTCTGCTTATATGAGGTATCTTGAGTAGGCAAATTCATAGAAACAGAAAGTAGAATAGAGGTTACTAAAGACAGTGGTGGCCGGGCATGGTGGCTCACACCTGTAATCCCAGCACTTTGGGTGGCTGAGGTGGGCAAATCATGAGGTCAAGCAATTGAGACTATCTGGCCAACATGGTGAAACCTTATCTCTGTGAAAAATACAAAAATGTAGCTTGTAGAGAGCTGCAAAAAGAAAAAATACAAAAATGAGCTGGGCGTGGTGGTGCACGTCTGTGGTCCCAGCTACTCGGGAGGCTGAGGCAGGAGCACTGCTTGAACCTTGGAGGCAGAGGTTGCCGAGATCCAAGATCTCGCCACTGCACTCCAGCCTGGCGACGGAGCAAAACTCCATCTCAAAAAAAAAAAAAAAAGCCTGTGGTAAAGGAGTGATAGGGAGTTACTGTTTAATAGATAGTTTCTTAATAAGATGATGCAAAAGTTCTAGAAAATAGTTAGTGATGATGGTTACACAGCATTGTGAAGGTACTTAATACTACTGAATTGTACACTTAAAAATGATTAAATGAGGCCAGGCATGGTGGCTCACGCCTGTAATCCCAGCACTTTGGGAGGCCAAGGTGAGTGGATCATTTGGGGGCAGGAGTTCCAGACTAGCCTGGCCAACATGGTGAAACCCCATCTCTACTAAAAATACAAAAAGTAGCTAGGTGTGGTGGCACACACCTGTAGTCCCAGCTACTCAGGCTGAAGTGGTACGATTACTTGAACCTGAGAGGTGGAGGTTGAAGTGAGCTGAGATCGTGCCACTGCACTCGAGCCTGGCAACAGAGGGAGAATCTGTCTCAAAAAAAAAAAAAAGGTTAAATGGTATATGTTATATATATTTTACCACAATAAAAAATAAATAACTGGGCTGGGCGCAGTAGCTCACACCTGTAACCCTAGCACTTTGGGAGGCAGTGGTGGGTGGATCATGAAGTCAAGAGATCGAGACCATCTTGGCCAACATGTTGAAATCCTGTCCCTACTAAAAAAAAAAATACAAAAAAAATTAGCCAGGTGTGGTGGTGCACACCTGTAATTCCAGCTGCTCTGGAGGCGGAGGCAGGAGGATCACTTGAACCTGGGAGGCGGAGGTTTCAGTGAGCTGAGATCGTGTCACTGCACTCCAGCCTGGCGACAGAGCAAGACTCTGTCTCAAAAATAAATAAATAAATAGCCAGGCATGGTGGCTTATGCCTGCGAGACCAGGCTGGCCAACATGGTGAAAATCCATCTCTACTAAAAATACAAAAATTAGCCCTGGTGGCAGGTGCCTGTAATCCCAGCTACTAGAGAGGCTGAGGCAGGAGAATCACATGAACCTAGGGGGCAGAGGTTACAGTCAATCGACCTTGTGCCTCTGCACTCCAACCTGGTTAACAGAGTGAGACTCTGTCTCAAATAAATAAATAACTTTTAAAAATTTAGCCTTATATGTTTTTTTTCATCCAGCCCAAAATGTCGTATATATGCTTCTTAATGGAAAACTTGGAAAATTTAAAAATTATGAATGAGCCGGGCGCGGTGGCTCAAGCCTGTAATCCCAGCATTTTGGGAGGCCGAGGCGGGTGGATCATGAGGTCAAGAGATCGAGACCATCCTGGTCAACATGGTGAAACCCCGTCTCTACTAAAAATACAAAACATTAGCTGGGCATGGTGGCGCGTGCCTGTAATCCCAGCTACTCAGGAGGCTGAGGCAGGAGAATTGCCTGAACCCAGGAGGCGGAGGTTGCGGTGAGCCGAGATCACGCCATTGCAC